GGGACAACCATCGGGACAACGATCGGGACAACCATCGGGACAACCATCGGGATAACCATCGGAACAACAATCGGGACAACCATCGGGACAATCATCGCGACAACCATCGGGACAACCACAACCAGCAGGACCTCCAACCAGAGAGAGCTACTCACGTGTATTTCGTAGACGAATGAGCCAGTATTGCACATTGAGGCCGGAACGACAACCACAGAGCAAGAATGAGCATGTATCGTCTCACAACAACGGAAACAAGTCCTGTGGTATGCTGGCGCCACCCACGTGGTACCACTCAAAATAAGTGTCTTCGCTTGTGTGGTACAGAAACGGAAAAACGTCGTATCAGACGCTAGCGCCTCACCAGCCAAAGCAGTCCATATCATTGTAGGACCTACAGACAGTACCGGCGTCGTACTGGTTTACCGTGGTTTCCTATTCTAGCGTCAGGAACACGTTACCACCAAAAACCAGTACAGGTGTCCAGTGTTGGAACAGGGGGAAAAGTCGTATACTAAGCTAGCGTCCAGAAAATGTTACCACAACAAGTCACTGTACCCATGCGCCAGTGTAGTAGCCACGGTCGTCCGCAGGCCACGAAGTGAAGTGTCCGAACGTCATAGGGCGGGAAGCTGGGTGTGGGTGGTGGCGAAGAGTCGTTTGGAAATGTGGTAGAGCTTGAACCGGCCCCCCCACAAAGTGGGGTATTGCGGGCGTCGTATGAAAACCCTGGCACTGGTGAGAACGGAGTGTCCCCACGTGCTGTAATTGTTGTTGAACATTATTAATTCTAAAGAATAATTATTGTTGGGACCCCTGGTGCACGGCCCCCCTGCGCCGCCTAGGCCGCAGCTACATTTTCATCACTTTCGTGAGGAAGCCTCAGGTAATTCGATGTGATCAAGATCCGGTTGTTTTGTTCCCCCCCGCTTTCCCTTGCAAAAAACACTATAAAATGACATTTCTTGTTCTAATATAATCAAATTTCAAGAATCCTTTGCAAAAAATAAGGTAAAGTGGACATTCGCGCGCGCAAGACGAAATCCTTCCAAAAGCTTAGTGTTCGGAGCGATTTCAACATAAAAACATCAAAAAACTCATGGTTTTTCAACAAAAAAATGTCAAAATCTCATCCCGCGCGCTCTTGCGGATTCGTAGGAAACCCAACACTTTTTAAACATTTCTGTCAAACGGGCTTTTGCGAGCAACTTTTTCGAACTTCTGCGACAACGGTTGCGCACCTGCCAGGGCCATCATCCCTGTCAAATAATACCATGCGGGACACATTCGTTTTTTCTTCGCGCGCGCACGCCGAAATCTCCAAAAACCATTGGGCTTCTTAAGAATTTTAGCACCGCGCATCATAAAATCACACGAATCGCACCGTAGGTCCTCGAAAAACACCTGCACGACTTTTCAAAATTTCCACCCGCGCGCGCTGTCCGAATCCTAAAAAAAACCAATGGTTTTCCAACATTTATGTTACATGAGCTCGCGCGAGCTACTTTCGCACGCTCTTGCAACGGGGTTCGCGCGCCTGCCAGGGGCCAGAATCCCTTGCGGTTGCGCCATATGTTGCGCCCTCGGCCGCCGAGAATAAAACGCCCCCCTATTGGTTGCGTCGTCATAGGTGCGCCCTCGGCCGCCGAGAATAAAACGTGCACCATGCTGGCACATGCGCGCCCCGAATAAGTGACCAAGTTCTGTGGGTGTGTACCCACGCCAGTGTAGTAGCCACGGTCGTCCGCACGCCACGAAGTGAAGTGTCCCAACGTCATAGGGCGGGAAGCTGGGTTTGGGTGGTCGCGAAGAGTCGTTTGGATATTTGGTAGAGCTTGTAATGCCCCCCCACGAAGTGGGGGTATTGCCTGGTGTCGTATGAAAACCCTGGCACTGGGGAGAACACCGCGCGTTCGGGTTAAAATGATTGTTGTTGTTGTTGTTGTTGTTGATGAAAACGAGGCTCCCGCGCGAGCGTTGACATGAGTCTAAATGTGGGCCGTTGGAGGCCAGCTACGACGATAACTGCTCCCGTTCGCTACTTCCTCAAAATGTGCCCCGAACACCCTGGCCAGAGAAACCTCCGAACTCAGGAACGGCACTCTCGCTCAAGACTTTTCGCGGTTCACTCAAGTTGGCGGAGGCCCAGCCACGACGACAACAGCTCCTGCTTGATATTTCCTCACGATTTGCTTCGAGGGCCCCTGGCCAGGAAGGCCTCCGAACTCAGGAACGGCGCTCTCGCTCGAGGTTGTTTCGTAATTCAGGCAAGTTGGTTGAGGCCCAGATTCGGCGACAAGGGTTCCCGTTCGATATTTCTCCATGAGTATTCCGAGAGCCTCTGGTTAGAGAGGCCCCCGAACTCTGGAACGGCGCTCTCACTTGAGACTTCTTCGCACTTCAGTCAGTGGCCGACAGAGAAGATATTCCCCCGAAAGGGTGTGCAATCGAAAACCCATTTGGCGGGTATCGAGGGTTGGGGTATACAGAATGCAAGACACGCGTGCCAGTGAGAGCGAACAGTCTTACATTGATCGTTGTTGTTGTGGTTGTGGTTGTGGTTGTGGTTGTTGTTGTTGTCGTCGTCGTCATCGTCGTCGTCGTTGGTGTTGGTGTTGGTGTTGTTGTTGTTGTTGTTGTTGTTGTTGAAGATTATTACTTCTAAAGAATAATTATTGTTGGGGCCCCTGGTGCGCGACCCCCCCGCCGCGCCTACGCCGCAGCCACGTTTTCATCATTTTCGTGAGGAAGTCTCAGGCAAAACGATGTGATCCAGATCCGGTTGTTTTGTTGACGCCCGCTTTCCCTGTCAAAAAACAATATAAAATGACATGTTTTGTTCTAACATAACCAAACTTCAAGAATCCTTTTGCAAAAAAATGACACAAAGTGCACACTCGCGCGCGCAAGATGAAATCCTTCCAGAACCTTAGTTTTCGTAGCGATTTTAACATAAAAGCATGAAAAACCCAATGGTTGTTCAAAAAAAAAGTTTCAAAAATTCATCCCGCGCGCTCTTGCGGATTTCTGAGGAAACCCAATATTTGTTCAACATTTCTGTCAAACGGGCTCTTGCGAGCAACTTTTTCACGTGCTTCGAACTTCTGCAACAACGGTTGCGCGCATGCCAGGGCCATCATCCCTGTCAAATAATACCATATTGGACACATTCGTTTTTTCTTCGCGCGCGCACGCCGTCGTCGTCGGCCGCGGGGCCCTGAATAGTAGCCACGGTCGTCCGCATGCCACGAAGTGAAGTGTCCGAACGTCATAGGGCGGGAAGCTGGGTGTGGGTGGTGGCGAAGAGTCGTTTGGAAATTTGGTAGAGCTTGAACCGGCCCCCCCACAAAGTGGGGGTATTGCCCGCCTCCTATGAAAACCCTGGCACTGGTGAGAACGGAGTGTCCCCACGTGCTAGTAATTGTTGTTGTTGTTGTTGTTGTTGTTGGTGGTTGTGGTGGTGGTGTGGTGGTGTTGGTGGTGGTGGTGGTGGTGGTGGTTGTGGTGGTGGTGGTGGTGTTGTTGTTGTGGTGTTGATGCTGTTGTTGTGGTGGTGGTGATGACGGTGTCGGTGGTGGGGGTTGTTGTAGGTGTTGTTGTTGTTGGTGGTGGTGGTGGTGGTCGTGGTGGTGGTGTTGTTGTTGTTGCTGCTGCTGCTGTTGTTGCTGTTGCTGTTGTTTGTCTTCGTCGTCCCGCCCGCGACCCCGCCCGCGATCCACATGCGATCCACCCGCAACCCACCCGGGACCCCCCCGCGCCCCCCCCGCGCCCCCCCCGCGCCCCCCCCGCGACCCACCCGCGACCCACCCGCGACCCCTTCCGCGACCCGCCCGCGACTCTCCCGCGACCCACCCGCGACCCACGCGCGACCCACCCGCGACCCACGCGCGACCAACCCGCGACCCACCCGCGACTCGTCCGCGACCCATCCGCTACCCAACCCGCGCTCGCCCCCTTACTCTGATCCGCAGTTGCGGGGGGGTACCTGTTATCCCCTCCCGCTTCCGATCCCCCGAGCGACGAGCACGAACACGACCACGACACGAGCACGAAGCCGACACCGATTTCCCCGCGGGGGGGGCCGTTTCACTGCGACCGCATCCTCACGCCTCCACCCTCAAGGGCGCCCTCGAGGGCGCGAAGTTATTCGCGCTTCGCGTTTCGGCTCCGATTCCTCCTCATCCTCTCCTTCTCCCCTGGGAGGCGGCGCGAGAGCGCGAAGCTCTTCGCACTTCGCGCTCCGCGCAGCGCGAAACGCGAAGTTGGGAGCCCCTGCTCATCCCTGCTCCTCTTCCCCCCTCTCCTCCCCCTTGGAGCGTTTCACTGCGACCACATCCTCACGCTTCCACCCTCCTCCCTGCTCCTCCTACTCTCCCCTCTCCTCCCCTCTGCTCCTCTTCCCCTCTCTCCCTGCTTCTCCTCCTCCCCCCCCTGCTCCTCCTCCTCCCCCCTGCTCCTCCTCCTCCCCCCTGCTCCTCCCCCCTGCTCCTCCTCCCTGCTCCTCTTTCCCCCTCTCCTCCCCCTGGGAGCGCGTTTCCTCTCCGACCTCCGAGCCCTTCGTCCCCCAGCCTCGAGTGCAGCATGGACTGGAGGTTTGAGGTGCCCCTGATTTTTCGTCGAGCCTACAAACCCAAAAACGTAGAATGTTCGTAGGTCCACGGATTTGTTCGATCTACTTCTCGCAGATTCCACGAAAGGTTAAGTTCGGGATAAATCAATTCTGTAGTCCATCTCCTACTCGAATCCCCCTCATCCCTCGGAGCCCCCGTTTCTGGGGCCCGTCCAGTGGTCGGGTGCAAGGACCCCGGCAAGGATCCGAAGGGTGCAGGCAGGAGAGAAAAAAGAGGGAGGAGAGGAGAAGCGGGAGAGGAGGGAGGCGGGCGGAGGGAGCGACGCGGGAGGACACGCCAGCGGAGGGGAGGAGCGAGGCGGGCGGGAGCTGGGAGGGACGGCAGGCGGCGGGAGAGCCCCGTCGTTGGCCCGCGCGGCGCCCTGCTCGGCAGGCGGCCGTCAGGCCGCCGCCGGGGCTGGAGGACCAGGGCCCCCAGGCGCCCGCGCGCGCGCGCGGCCCGGCCCGCGCGGGCTGCTTGGCTCCCGCCGGCCGCCGTCGGCAGCGGCGGCGTCCGGCGGCGTCGGCGGCGGCGGCGTCGGCGTCGTCCGTCGGCGGCGTCGTTGTCGGCGGCGTCGGCGTCGTGGGCGTCGTCGGCCTCGGCGTTTCGCTGGCTCGCCATCCTGTGGAGAGGACGGGGGAGAAGGAGAAAAGGGGGAAGGAGAAGGAGGAGGAGGAGGAGATCCTGGCATCTCAGTATGTCCGAGCTGGGCGTTTTCGTCAGGTTTCGGTCCCCGGGAACAGGGCAGGATGTTTGCAACTTCCCTGAGCCGTTGCACCAGCTGCGAGCCCAAGAACAAGTGGACGGAAGAAACAACCATGCAGAAGCCCCTAGACACACATGCTGCATATGTAATTACTGTACACGCGCTCAGTTTACTATCGCTCCGTATGTGCACTGTACTGGTGTGAAACTGGTGCACCAATTGACGCTCAGAACGAGAAGGGAAAGCAAGAAGCAACGCACGCATACCGCCAATCATCCGTCAATGGGGGTTGCACAGCCTCACAAGCAAAACACGGAAATGCAAGGAGCGACACGGCCCGAACACCCGCAGGCGAAGATTAGACCAGGCTGGAAATACGATGTTGGACAGCAGTGAACGCCTTCTGCAAACTAGTCAAGTAAGGATGCTTACGCTTTACCCTCTGCAAAGCACGGTAAAGGATGGAATGTGGGTGCTCCGAACATTGCAGTTCGAGCAGTAAGTTCACTAACTCATGCACCGGATCACCACCAAGGCACCGATCCAACGTCTGGCAAAGATGGCCTTCAACAGCCTCTAATTTCATACTTACTGCGAGGGTGCTATGCCACATCTGAAACTGTTGTCTTAATATCTCCATACCCTGCTGTGCAGATCGATCCAGCGGCGCAGAAAGATGGGGTCTAGAACTGCGGTCGTGATTTTCCACGGTGTCCCAATTTTTCGCGCCGTCGGATCTCAGGGTCTCCATGCGGGGTCCCTGGAGGTGTGGGCAGTTTCCCTGGGGTCGGCTCTGCATCCTGAGTCGTTCTTTGGACGGTCCCGGGGGCTCGGCGAGGGCCTCCAGGGGCCGAGAACTGACAACAAAATGTTCGCTTCGAAATTCTCGAGACGTTGGAACTTTTGGGCCGCCGACGCCGGCGCCGACGGCGCGGAGGGCGTCAGGGGCAACGATAGGGGGGGATAGGCGTAGGGGGGGATGCATCGACCCCCAATCGCCCATTGATCGCCGATAGGGGCCCGATAGCCCCAACCCGCCCAGGAAGGTGCGGAATCACTGACGGGGGCCTACCGCCGATCTATCGGCGATGTATCGCCAGTTCCAGGTCGACGCATCCTCCCCTATGCCCTATGCCAGTCCCCCCCTCATCGTTGCCCCTCAGGGCGCCCGGGGCCCCGCCGCCAGGCCGGCGCCGCTGCCGACGACGACCTCTTCGGCCGCCGCGGGGGGTGGCCGGCGGCGGCGGAGGCAGCGCCCAGCGGGCCGCGGAGCGCACGCCCCGCGTGGCCGCCGCGGTCGTCGTCGTCGTCGTCGTCGTCGTCATCGTCGTCGTCATCGTCGTCGTCGTCGGCGGCGGCATCGTCGTCGTCGGCGGCGTCGCCGTCGTCGCCGTCATCGTCATCGTCAGCGTCGTCGGCGGCGTCGTCGGCGGCGCCGCCGTCGTCGTCGCCGTCGTCGTCGCCGCCGCCGTCGCCGCCGTCTTTGTCATCGTCGTCGTCATCGTCGGTGGCGGCGGCGGCGTCGAGGGCGTCGTCAGCGTCGTCGTTGGCGTCGCAGCGTCGTCGTCGTCGTCATTGTGCGGGTCGTCGGCGTCGGCGCCGTGGCTGTCTCTGGCGTGATCTTCGTGTTCGCCGTCGTGGTGGTCGTCATGGTCGTTCCCGTGTTCGCTGACGTCAGCGGGGGCGAGCGTTCTCTCTCATATGGTTCGCCGAGGACAGAGACGGCGTCTCAAAAGGCTGGAGAGCTTCTGAGAAGCCCCGCCGCCTTCTGAGAAGGCTTGCCCCCTTCTCACTTTCCTTGGGCGCGCAGCCGAATTTTGAACTGGGCTTGCTGTCGGTGCCACCGCGGATTATGTCCAGTTGTGGCAGGAGGCCGCCTACCAAACAGCGACCGCTGTCATCTTGCTGGGCATCGTGCCCATTATTATTATGTTCCCGTTTCGGGCGTCGACGCCGACGCAAGCGGCGTCGCCGTCGTCGTCACTGTTGTGTCTTGAAGGTGTTGTCCTTGCACACCGCGCTTGAGGCCGCTGCGCTGCATTCGTCGGCGGCGTCGGCGTCGGCGTCGCCGCCAGCGCCGCCGCCGCCGCCGCCGTCGTCGTGGTCGTCGTCGTCGTCGTCGTCGTCGTCGTCGTCGTCGTCGTCGTGATCGTCGCTGTGTGCGGAGGGTTCCCCGAGATGCGACGTAGCGAAAAATTCCAACATTGTGAAATCACGTCCAGAGCCCCCGACCCCATCTTCCTGAGCCTTTTTCCAAGCCGGATCGAGCTGTGATGGTCCCGGGGCCCGGAAACAGGCGAGAACGCCCGGCTCGAGCAGCTCGAGCCGCCAGGATCTCAGGGCTGTGCGAGCGGCAGAGGGCGAGGAGAGGCACTCCGCGGCAGCAGCCTCCCAGCAGGAGCGAGCAGCAGCTGGCCCCAGTGAGCACGCAGGCCAGCCTTTCTCGCCCACCGGCCCGAGTGCTCCGCGTCGCGGCCGCACCGGTCTCCTACGGCGTTTTTGAACATCAATTTGGACGAGCGTGGCCACGGGTTTCTGGGAACGCTCGTGGGTCGCCTTGGAGGGTGGGTTCATGGGACTGCACGGCCACGGGGTCAGCCTCTCGCAGTGGCCCCCCCCCCCCCCCACCCCCCGCCCAATGTTGCCTCGAACCCCCGAGTGCGGCAGCGGCCCTGTCAAGAGCCAACTTTGACCGTGGGGGTGGGGGGGGATGCTGAATAGACCTGTCGAGTTCTCCTTCGCGAGGGTTGTAGGAGGCAGAGTGGGAGTATAAACATGAATACGGAATAAGACTGGGGAGCCTGTGAAAGCTCCCATGTTCTCTGCGATTCTGGGAGCCCGTGGGATGGTGAACCTGGAGATGCTGCGGCCCCGTCAGGAGCCAGCTTTGACCTTTAGCGGGGGGGGGAATGCTGAATCGATCCATCAAGTTCTTCTTCGCGAGGGTTGCAGTGGGACCTCGCCTCGGCGCCTTGGGAGCGTCCGTCCGGCTTACCCCCTTGAGATCCGCCGTTGCGAAACAGTCAGCGCTGCGCAAGATCACACAACCGGAGCCCTGGACTCCCGTCTTGTTGCGGCAGCTTCCGGGCCAGACCGATCTGTGAGGGCCCGCGGTGTGAAAACATTGAAACGCCCAGATCTCAGCGTCGCCGTCGTCGTGCCCGTGGTCGTGGTCGTCGTCGTCGTCGTCGTCTTCGTCGTCGTCGTCGTCATCGTCGTCGTCGTCGTGGTCGTGGTCGTGGTCGTGGTGGTGTCGTGGTCGTGTTCGTCGTGGTGGTCGTCGTGGTCGTCGTCGTCGTTGTCGTCGTCGTTATGGTCGTGGTTGTGGTCGTGGTCGTCGTCGTCGTCGTCATCGTAGCGCGGCGAGGAGCTTCCCACCAGGCAACTTCTTCGGCGCCCCGGCGCGGGGGCCGCCGCCGGGCCTCAGGACGCCGCTCCGCATGCAGGCACGCGGCCTGCGCGCGGACGACGGCGACGACGACGACGAAGACGACGACGACGATGACGGCGGCGGCGGCCCCGACGACGACCACGACGACCACCACCACCACCGCCACGATGACCACGACGACGACGACGACGACGACGACGACCATGACCACCGCCACGGCGACCAAGACGAGGACCAAAACGACGACGACGAACACGACCACGACCACCCCCACCACCACCACCACCACGACGTCAACGACCAAGACCACGACCACGACAACGGCCACAGCGATCCCGACGACCACCACAACGACGACGACGCCGCTCCGCATACAGGCGCGCGGCGGCCTGCTCGCAGACAACCACGACGGCGACGAAGACGACGATGACGACGACGACGCCGACGACGACGACGACGACGACGACGACGTCGACAACGACGACGACGACGACTACGACGTGGTGACGACGACGACGACGAGGGAGACGGTGACGACGACGACCACAACCACGACCACGACCACGACGACAGCGACAGCGGCGACGATGACGACGACGACCACTACGACCACGACGACGATCCCGAAAACGATATCGACGACGACGACGCACATTTTGAAGGCGGCCCGCCATCCATCCGTGTGAACTTGTTGCAATTTCTAAGACGGCTGTGACCGGCGCTGAGGCGAGAGCCATTTGAAACCGGTCCGCCCTCCATCCGTTAAAATTGCGTTGCAAGTTTGAAAACGGATTCGCCCGTCGTTAATGTGAGAGCCACATGCTGAAAAATAATTGCCTTCCATCCGTCAATCTTGTGCAATCGCAGTTGTTGGAAGCGAATGTGAGCGGCGCTAAAGCGAGAGCCACATCATGACAGCGAGCCGCCATCCACCTGTGAAATCCTTGCAGTGTTGTAACGAATGTGCGCGGCGATCAGGCGAGATTTTGAAAGCGGACCTCGTTCAATCCGCGAAATTGTTCTAAATTCATGCCTCAGGATCATGAATGGTGAGGGCGTCTCGGGCGATCTTGGAGGCGATCTTGGGCTCCCTGAGGCCCTCTTGGAGTCGTCTTGGCTCATCTTGGACGCTCCAACGCGTCGCGGCCCCCCCTGTCCAGGTCAGTGGGGAGGGGGTGGGGGGAGGGGTAAACCCCTCCCCGAAGGGGAAGAAGGAGGGGTGGAAGAGGAAACGCTGTAAACCACCGACGCCCAGAGGGCTGGTGGGATTCATGCCTCAGGATCATGAATGGTGAGGGCGTCTCGGGCGAGACGCCCGGCCCGCCCTTTCGACCGGCCTCGGGGTGCGACAGGGAGGAGGTATTTGATCGGGAAGAGGAATGGAGGAGGAGGCGGAGGAGGAGGAGGAGGAGGGAGAGGAGGGGGGGGGAGGGAGGAGGAGGAGGAGGAGGAGGAGGAGGAGGAGGAGAAGGAGGAAGAGGAGGAGGAGCGGGAGGGGGCGGAGCAGGAAGAGCAGGAGAAGGAGAAGAGAGAGAGGAGGAGGAGGAGCAGGATGTGGAGGTATTGAGAAGGAAGAAGGACGCAGGAGGAGGATTCGGCTCTGGCGTGGGGCTGGCCAGCTCCTCAGCTGCCCTCCGGAGAATGGAAGCTGTCGGTCGTCTTACTGCGTGGAGGGGGATGCGTCGATTCCCATGAAAATGAAACAAAGATGGGAAGTGCAGGCGACGAACATCCAGAACATGTGGGAAACATGGAGAGTCTTTCGATGAGTGTCTAATGTATGCTGTGTGTCCCTGGGCCCATTCAGCGTTGCATCTTCGGGAGTCTTCTGCTGTCCTGACAATGGATGAGTTCGACGTGGATGCGACACGGATCCGGCGCGGTCGACATGGATTCGACGCGCATTCGACACGGATGGCTGACGGCGAGATGGGACCTTGGCATCGCTCGGACGTGTGCATTTTTCCCTCGGCGAGGACTAACGAGGAGCATCTTTGATCACTTGGCGAAACAACCACGCACGAAACCGACAAGTGCATGGGAAATGGGCGTCCGAGCGATGGCAGGGGGACGTACCCCGCAAACTTCCCTTGCTCACGCCAGCTTGTCCTCAGGAGCCTCCGATCCCCACCCCTCCACGGCCCCACCTCTGCCCGCTACCTCGGCCCGCCGTCCCCGCCCGCGCGCAGGACGTCCGTTTCTCGTTCCAAACCTTCTCAGGAGGGAACCAAAACACACAGACACAATTCATCGTCGATTCCACTGGAAAGATGGGAAAATATGGAAGGCGGGGGGAAGACAAAAACCCAGAAAATATATGAAAATATTGGGAATCGGGTCGTTAGTGTCTATGTATTTGTGTGTGTCCCAGGACCCCTTCACCTTCGGTCGCCGCGCAAAAGCCCTGACCCCCCGCGAGAGAACATCAATCCCCCCGGGCGAGATGCTCAGAGGAGGGCGAATTGAAACAACAGTAGTCCGCCTTCAGGGGCCGCCCTCGTCGGCGCGGCTGAAGACCGCTCGGAAAATTGGTGCACTTGGACCTTGCGCGGTCCGTGGAATGGCGCCCACGCGCCGGACCCACGGATCCGTAATCGATGTTAGAGGCAGTGTTTTACATCACTTGGCTGTGACGGGCGTGATTGGGCGAGGGGGAAGGGGGGAGGGGGCCGGTCACGTCGTGTTTCGCGCAAGCGCCGTCTGGGAATGCCAAGGAATGGCCCATTCCCAGACGGCGTCCACGCGAGTCGTGATGTGACCAGGGGGGGGGGGTCGGTCACTCACCAGCCAGGGCGGCTGGCCGCCACCCCCGCTGAGCTGGTGGCACCCCGTTCCGGGCGCACCCCCAGAGAGTGCCTGGAACGGAGTGCCACCAGCTTGGGGGTTGGCCTTTTGGGAACGGGGTTCTATGGAGTTTTGGTGGTGGTGGTGGGTGGTGGCTCTTGTTACCTTCCTGGATCATGGGCTCTTATCGGGAACAGGAAGCGCACCACCACCACCACCTGGGGGGATTCAGGATGATCTGGTGTGCGGGATGTGGGTGTGCACGATGTCTTGCGAGGGCGCCCGAAACAATATACAGGGTCTGGCTTGACTAAGGAGCACTTACTTTTCAAAAGAGGTTCGATCGTTCCTTTGGTTTGCATGCCTTCCGCGACCTTTTGGGCGGCGAGCCCCCCTTGTGTTCGTTCGGACTTCCTAGATTTTCTCTGAATAAAGGGGCTTCGTTCCTTATCTATCGTTCCTTTGGTCAGGCCGAATGCTGTGCACCACCACCACCACCACCACCACCCCTGACCACCATCTGCCTCCATCCTCCACGTGGTGGTGGTGGTGGCGCGTTTCCTTCTCCCGATCTGAGCTTGCGCCCGACCGGAGGAGGGTCAGTCGAGACATCGGCGGTCCTCCCCCCTCCCTCCTCACCCTCGGTGCTCCTCCCTCCCTCACCCTCATCCTCCCCTTTCTCCCTTCACTCCTCCCTCCCTTCTTCTCCCTCCTTCTCCCTCCTCCTCGCTCCTCTTCCCTCGTCCTCTTTCTCCCTCCTCCCTTCTCCTCCCTCCTGTTCCTTGCCTCCTTTTCCCTGCCTTCTGCTTCGTCCTCCCCCCTCCTCCCTCGGCCCCCTTCCTTCTCCCCCTTCCTCCTCCTTCTCCCTCCCTTATCCTCCTCCTTCCTCCTCGTCCTCCGTCCTCCCTCCTCCCTCCCTCTCTCTCCTTTTTCGGCAAGCCGGGGGAGCGGAAACTCGCAGCGTCAGTCGTCCGATCGAGATTTGCCCCGTTCCTCGCGCTCACGTGAAACGTAGGCGCAGCGAGCAGCAGGAAGGATGCAATGACGCGGTCCGCGGCAGCACCCACCAGTGAAGCAATCAGGAGGGAAAACACACACAGACACAATCAATCGTCGATCCTCCAGGAAAATATGCGAAAACATGGGAAGTGAGGGGAAGACAAAACCCAGACGATATGGCAAAATGTGGGGAATCCTTTGATATGTGTTTATTTATTTGTGTGTCCCAGGGCCCCTTCAAGTGTGCACGATGGGCAGGGAGACAGGACAGAGAGCTGAAGCGGGAACACCGGCAGGGAAACATCGCGAATTGTTGGCCTGCAGCTCCAAGACGAGCGAGTGCCAGCAAAGCTACGCGCCAGCCATGCAGAACAAAGCTTGCTGGGCGAGGCACGGTGGCCACAGCATGCACACGTCAACCAACGCCTCAGCAACAAGCGAACGAGGAGCGGGATGCTGATGGTGCCCGCAGTGCCCTTGTGCGCGCCGACGCCGTTCGCTGGGGGGCAAGAAGGGGCCTCGGGGTGGCGCTGGTAGTTTGTTTCGCCGCTGTCCACTGTCGGCGGTGCCGTCCACCCACTCCCCGCGCAGGGCCGTCCAGTGCCCGACACTGGGTGTCTGTCTGTCTGCCTGTCCCTCTGTCTGTCTGCCTGTCTGCCTGCCTGTCTGCCTGCCTGTCTGCCTGCCACTGTCGCTTGCGCCACCCGAGCCCGACCCGCCCCCCCTGAAACAAGAGAAGGCCACCGCCGAGCTGCCAGCAAGAGTACATGAGGCAGTGCAGGATCGGGACGGCTACTTGTAGGCGAGCGCGATGGACGATGGCTTGGGAGACGGATGACGCGAGTGGTGAGGCTGCTTGCACGCGGGTGCGCCGCTGGGGTGGCGCTTGAGGTTGACTTCCACCCCAAGTGACCACCCACAACGTCGCCAGCGCCCACAGTGACCCCACCCCTACGTCGCCAGCCCAGCAACGGAGAGCCAGAGCCTTTTGCGGGGCGCCGCTTCGCGGCGCGCTGGGACGAGACCCCGTGCGACAGGAGCCAGTGTGCAGCGCGGGTGGCGCTCGATCTCGAGCGTCATCTGGGTTCCGCCGCAGATCCTTCGGTGCAGTGGAAGCGTGCTGCCGAGGCTGAGGAGCTCGGTAGCTGCATTGACACGGAGAGCATTCCCTCCTACCCCCCTAACCTACATCCTTTGACAGCCTGAAGGAAGAAGGAGGGGGAGCTCTCGACTCGAGACGCTGGTGGTACCAACACAGGCAGAGCATATGAGGATGCAGCAGGACGAAGCACGCCTC